TCTCCTACACAACGCCTCTACCCACTCACAGATGCCAACCTGGCACCAGCCCACGGCACGGTCTCTTCTTAGTGGGAAGAGTAGAGACCCCAGGAGGTGGGGGCTGTGCCTGTTCGGGCTCTCCAGGACCAGTCAGGGTTCGACGTCTCGCCCCCCTCCCTCCATTCTCCCCTCCCATGGTCCTGGGAAGGGGGGCATGTTGGAGGTTTGAAAAGCTGGCTGCCCCGAGCAAGCATTTTTCTGTCGTTTCTGGATTTCTAAAAAAAAAAAAAGTATTAAAGTTCCCAGCATAGCCTCTCGCTGGTTCCTGGCATTTCCTGGTGGTCTCCCATCCATAGAATGGAATGGGAATGGAATGGAATAGAATAGAATAGAATAGGACAGGACAGGACAGGACAGGATAGGACAGGATAGGATAGGATAGGATAGAAATAAGGAACAGAATAGAATAGAAATAAGGAATAGAATAATAATATAGAATAGAATAATAATATAGAATAGAATAATAATATAGAATAGAATAGAAATAAGCAATAGAATAGAATAGAATAATAATATAGAAATAGAATAGAATAGAATAATAATATAGAATAGAATAATAATATAGAAATAGAATAGAAATAAGGAATAGAATAGAAATAAGGAATAGAATAGAATAATAATATAGAATAGAATAGAAATAAGGAATAGAATAGAATAGAATAATAACATAGAATAGAATAATAATATAAAATAGAATAAATAGAATAGAATAGAAATAAGGAATAGAATAGAATAATAATATAGAATAGAATAAATAAAATAGAATAGAAATAAGGAATAGAATAGAATAGAATAATATAGAATAGAATAATAATATAGAATAGAATAGAATAGAATAGAATAGAATAGAATAGAATAGAATAGAATAGAATAACAGAGTTGGAAGGGACCTTGCAGGTCATCTAGTCCACCCCCCTGCCCAAGCAGGAGTTCTTATACACCATTTCTGACCTGGCCCTGGGGCTGTTTTGCTTTTAGTTCAGTGTGTGTGTGTGTGTGTGTGTGTGTGTGTGTGTCCTCTCTTCTGCTTCTCAAACAAGAGAAGGGTGGAGAATGAGAAGGATTCGGCTTTGTGGGGAGGCGCAGAAGAGGCCTGGGGGGGGGTGAACCTGGGGGGGGAACGGGGGAAGGTCCCAGAGAGCCAGACTGCAAGGGTTTGGCGGATGAGAGGAGGCAGGGGACGCTGGGAACTGTAGTCGTTGCTTCCGGATTGAGGCAGTTGCATTCTCTGCCGTGTCTCATGCTGGCATCTTCCTTGGGGGGGGGCAGGATTGTACCTTGGGGGGCCTGGGGGCAGAAAGAGGGGGGGGCTGGGGTCTCAAATGCTTAAGGCTAAAACGGGCCAAGCAGTCAGGCTGGTCAAACATGGAAGCTTTTAGGGGAAGGGTCTCCTCTGCGCTGCCCTGGTCAGACCCGCCCCCCCCCGGGGGGATCCAGTTTAAAAGGGGCTGGGGGCTGTGAGAGATCCAGAGGGGAGGGGGGGTCTACTATCCAAGTCCCTGCCAGAGCTCTTCAGGGATTCCGGTCCCATTTAGCCCCGAGGTGGATGAGGGGTGATGTTGTCCTCACCCGGAAAGGTGGGTGGGTGGGCTTCTTCTCTGTGCCCCCCCCCCCGAAGGCAGGAGTGGAACCCAGGCCTGGTTCTAACCCCAGGGGTGTGGTGGGTATAAAAGAGGAATTCCCGGGTGGGAGGGGCACTTGAACTGGGGAAGATGCTACTTTGAACCCGGGGCTGGGTCCTCCCTCGAACCTGGGGCTCAGCTAGATGACCTCTGAAGTGCCCCCTGACGAAAATGAACCCCATCGAAAGGACTCTACAATAGGGAAGAACAGGTTGGGAATGAGGGGGGGGGGGCTTGATGGGGGAGGAGAGGGAAATTTGGGAAGATGAAGGGGGGGAGTCTCTTCCTTTGCTAAATTGGGGTTCTCGCACCTTTGGGAGAAAGACTGCAATTCCCAGAATTCTTTGCAACTCTGTTGGCTGGGCATCCTGGGAACCGCCGTGCCAGGGGAAATAGGGGCTGACTATTGGGGGGGCGGATTGGGGAGGGGTCCCGCTTTGGCCTAATAATGATCCTAATAATTAAAAAGAGACAGGCCTCTCGTTCATATGTAGCATGCCTGACAGAAGAGTTGTTAAAAAGCAGAAAGTTCTGGTCCGTGGATGCTTTTATGTGGTTTATTTACTCCTCCTTTATTTTTAGACTTTTTAAATCACACTTTTATTACTCGGTGAGTGATTCAAGGCAACGAATATGCCTAGTGCTTTTTCTTCCTCTTACTTCAACAACAACCCTGTGAGGTGGGTTGGCCTGAGAGAGAGAAAGAAAGCAAAGTAGGCTTTCGTGCCTAAGGCGGGACTAGAACTCACATCTCCTGGTGATTGCCTCATAGTCACCCAGCCGGGTTTCAGGCCTAAGGCGGGACTAGAACTCACTGTCTCCTGGTGATTGGCTCAGGGTCTCTCAGCTGGCTTTCATGCCTAAGGTGGGACTAGAACTCACCGTCTCCTGGTGATTGGCTTAAAGTCTCTCAGTTGGCTTTCATGCCTAAGGCGGGACTAGAACTCTCCATCACCTGGTGATTGGCTCAAAGTCACCCAGCTGGGTTTCATGCCTAAGGCGGGACTAGAATTCACCGTCTCCTGGTGATTGGCTCAAGGTCTCTCAGGTGGCTTTATTGCCTAAGACGGGACTAGAACTCACTTGTCTCCTGGTGATTGGCTCCAAGTCAGGCAGCTTTCATGCCTAAGGCGGGACTAGAACTCTCCGTCTCCGGGTGATTGGCTCAAAGTCTCTTAGCAGGCTTTCATGTTTAAGGCGGGACTAGAACTCACCGTCTCCTGCTGATTGGCTCAAAGTCTCTCAGCTGGCTTTCATGCCTAAGGTGGGATTAGAACTCACCGTCTCCTGGTGATTGGCTCAAAGTCACCCAGGCAGCTTTCATGCCTAAGGCGGGACTAGAACTCACCGTCTCCTGGTGATTGGCTCAAAGTCTCTTAGCTGGCTTTCATGTTTAAGGCGGGACTAGAACTCACCATCTCCTGCTGATTGGCTCAAAGTCTCTCAGCTGGCTTTCATGCCTAAGGCGGGACTAGAACTCACCGTCTCCTGGTGATTGGCTCAAAGTCTCTCAGCTGGCTTTCATGCCTAAGGCGGGACTAGAACTCACCGTCTCCTTAGTTCCTAGCCAGGTGCCTTAACCACTAGACCAAACTGTTGCTAATCCAGGTGCTGTAAGATTTGATTAAAAATAATCTGGAAAAAAATGATGAATTCTCAGGAGTTTCAGATTGAAATTTACAGAGTGGAAAAATCCATTTTCCCCCACTAACGGTACTTAAAGAATTTCCACGCTGGAAATATTGAATATATCAGGCTGAATAAATAAATTTATATAAAAATGGCCGGCGTTCTTTGTTGCTACCTTAATAATTCTCAGTTAGGCCTTGAATGGTTCAGTTCCCCCCCCCCTCCCAGCTGTAGGCTGTGAATCCAGACTGTCCATTCCCCACCCAATAATCCCTGCCCCGGGGGAACAAGCCTTGATGACATCACGGCTTCGTTGACGTGTCGCCGCCCCAACGAAGAAGAAGCCGTGGTTTGTGGCATCCTCCTGAGGAAATTTCAAATTTGCACTTCCAGATGCAAACCTCCGCCACAGCCTTCCAGCCTCCCCTGCCCACGGGACGTTGGACTCCAGCGCCCATCCACTCCGGGCAGGGGCTGATGGGCGCTGTAGTCCAAACACACTCCCAAAGAGGGTTCAGGTTGGGAAGCTGGGCTGACGTCCTTCCTTGCCCCCTGATGGATGGGAGGGTCATTTTGGCCTGGGGGGGTGAGGGTGGGGTTGCTCTCCCCCCTCTTTCAAATAAAATAGCCCCTCCCTCCCCAATACATTGTTCAGCCCCTCCCACCTGAGCACGGTCCCCTTCATTTGCATCCCCAGAGGGAGATGCTGTTGTCATGGTGTCGCCATGGCGACTGTTGTCAGCGGCCACTGGAGGTGGAAGAAAAAGAGGGAAAGCATTGCAAAATGGAGGAGGGGGGAGAGAGGTGAGTGGGTGGGTGGGGAGCCGAGCTGGACTTCAGCCCACTTGGATTCCAGGCCAAACAGCTCGGCACCCCCCCCCCCCGTAGCTACCCCGCCAGGACGACGCCTATCGGTGTCCAAATTTGGCATCGCCCTCTCCCCCCTTCCCTTTGCCCCATCTGCCTCCATCGGGGACTTCACCCCACCAGCTATTCAGGGTACCCACATTTTGCACCCCGCACTCGGCAACCCTCTGTGCAATATTTGGTTTATTCTATTTATGTTATGTTATGTTATTTTATTATTTTATTTTTATTGTTATCTTATTCTATTTATTTTATTTTATTGTATTGTGTTTTATTTTATTTTATTATTTTATCTTATTTATTTTATTGTATTGTATTTTATTTTATTATTTTATCTTATTTATTTTATTGTATTTTATTTTATTATTTTATCTTATTTATTTTATTTCATTTTATTATTTTATTTTATTTTTCTTTTCTTCTTTTCTTTTTTCTTTTTATCTTATTCTATTCTATTTATTTTATTTTTATTTTATTCTGTTTTATTTACTTTATTTTATTATTTTATTTTATTTTATTATTTTATTATTTTATTTTATTCTCCTATGGAGATCCCTGTTTGCATTGCACAGCCGTTTCGGGCATAAAGTGGTCCCACGAAAGGGCTGGATGGACGGAAGGGAGAATGCAGATTTGAGAATTTGGGGGTCCAGGCTGCATGCAGGAGGGGTGGGTGGGTGGAAAAAGCATCCAGGGCTGGGGTCCCCGGCCCTTGTCGAGCCAGATCTGCTGAAGACCCTTGCAAGAGATGATTGGGAGATGTGGCCTCGTATAATTTCGCCCCCTCCTCTTTTCTCTCTCTCTCTCTCTCTCTCTCTGTGTCTCTTTGTCTGTCTCCAGGCTAATTCTCCACCCGTTATTGTCAACACCGACACTTTAGAAGCACCAGCTTATGTGAGTTTTCCCGCAGAGGTCCACTTCGTTGCCTCCCCCAAGTCCTCTGGCCAGCCCCCCACCCCACCCTCGCATGCCCCCCCTTGACTGGCCACTTCCACCTCTCTCTCTCCACCCCCTCCCCACATCCCGAAGGTCTTCCTAAAGAGTTTTGCCCTCTTGGGTCAGTAAATCTACCCGCCTCTAACTGCGCCTTTCTCCCCCCCCCCCAGGTAAATGGAACGGAAGGCGAGATGGAATATGAAGAGATCACACTAGAGAGGGTAATTTTGTGTGTGTGTGTGTGTGTGTCTGTGCGCGCACGTGTGAGATCGGGGACAAGGAAGTCATTTACGTTGCTGTTTCTCAACTTTGCCACTTTAAGATAGGTGGACTTCAACTCCCAGAAGTCCCCAGCCAGCTGGAGAATTCTGGGAGTTGAAGTCCGCAGGACTCAAGGACGCCTTCCTGGCTGGGGAATTCTGGGAGTTGAAGTCCGCAGGACTCAAGGGCGCCCTTCTGGCTGGGGCATTCTGGGAGTTGAAGTCCACAGGACTCAAGGACGCCTTCCTGGCTGGGGCATTCTGGGAGTTGAAGTCCATAGGACTCAATGACGCCTTCCTGGCTGGGGCATTCTGGGAGTTGAAGTCCGCAGGACTCAAGGACTACTTCCTGGCTGGGGCATTCTGGGAGTTGAAGTCCGCAGGACTCAAGGACTTCTTCCTGGCTGGGGCATTCTGGGAGTTGAAGTCCGCAGGACTCAAGGACTTCTTCCTGGCTGGGGCATTCTGGGAGTTGAAGTCCGCAGGACTCAAGGACTTCTTCCTGGCTGGGGCATTCTGGGAGTTGAAGTCCGCAGGACTCAAGGGCGCCTTTCTGGCTGGGGAATTCTGGGAGTTGAAGTCTGCAGGACTCAAGGATGCCTTTCTGGCTGGGCATTCTGGGAACTGAAGTCCGCAGGACTCAAGCCAATCCTGGTTTCCTCGTTGGCAGTCATATGGGTCCATTTGCATTTAGACCTTACTCTCTCCCAGGGCAACTCCGGGCTGGGGTTCAGCATCGCCGGGGGCACCGACAATCCACACGTTGGCGACGACCCCAGCATCTTCATCACCAAAATCATCCCTGGAGGGGCGGCCGCTCAAGATGGCAGATTAAGGTGAACACCTAGAAACCAGGCTCTCCTGGTGGTCTCCCATCCCAGGACTCCCCAACCCTAGCCCTGCAACGGTCGCAAGTGTGAAATGCGGTCGTAAGTCCCCTTTTTTCCCCAAAGGGTCACTAAGCGAGTGCTCGTAAGTTGAGGACAGCCCGTAATTTATTTTCATTCGTGCGTTCCATTTCTCCAGCCGCCCGACTCAACCAAGTGACCCTGGGCGGAATTACAGTCCTGATTTTTTTGGGGGTGGGCTGGGGTCTGATTTCTCCCCCCCGGAACAGAGTGAACGACAGCATCCTCTTTGTGAACGATGTGGACGTACGGGAGGTGACCCACAGCACGGCGGTGGAAGCGTTGAAGGAGGCCGGCTCCATCGTGCGGCTCTACGTCATGCGCCGGAAACCGCTGGCGGAGAAGGTGATCGAGATCAAGCTGATCAAAGGCCCTAAAGGTAAACCCCTCCGCCCCCCCCCAGGGCTTCTTTAGGGCTCTGTTGCTTGGCTGAACCCCAGTTCCCGTTTGGGTGAAGCCACATTACCCCCAAAGCGGTCTTTCTCAACTTCAGCGGCTTTCAGATGGGTGGACTTCAACTCCCAGAATTTCCTAGCTAGTCACGCCTTTCTTTTCTGTTTTCTGTCCTATGCCCCCTAGAGCGGAGAGATTGCAGAGAAAGGGATGACAAGAGAATACGTGGGCCACAATGGGTGCACCTAGCGAAAGGGATAGTATTAGTGCCAGGGAATTCTGGGAGCCGAATTCCACCCGTCGTCAAGTGGCTAAAGTTGACAACCACCGTCCTAAGTAGAGAATTTATGTCTGGTTCTGCTTCTCATCAGGGAGCCTTCATAGAGAAAACTCCACACACACACACCCCACCATCCCATCAGCCCTAGCACGGCTAATGGAACCTTAGCGAGAACAATTAACCAGTGGAACCGCCTGCCTCCAGAAGCAGTAAATGCTCCAACACTGGAAGTTTTTAAGAAGAGACTGGACAGCCATTTGTTTGAAATGGTGTAGGGTTTCCTGCCTGAGCAGGGGGTTGGACTAGATGACCTCCAAGGTCCCTTCCAACTTTACTACTATTATTATACCTCCCGTGGCAGGCACAGTGTATCTTTAAATGCCACGTGCTGGGCACAAAAGAGGGAGAAGGGCCGATGCATCCATGCTGTCTTTTAGTACGAAATGTCAGTTCTGATTGCTGGAGGCCTTCAGGTTATCCAGATGCTCATGTCATGCAGTGGATCCTGGCGTGCGCTGGCGGTTGGACTAGTACCAGGCCACGGCCTGTTGGCCACTGGGCCCCGGGAATAGCTGGCGAGGCCCACCCCACTCATGGTAGCACCATTTGCGCATGCGTGGGAACGCTAGCATTGCCGCCAACGTCACGCAGACGCCTGCGGCCCACTTGCGCAGGCACGTGCACACTAGCACCACCGTCTGTCCAGCCAGGAAGGTTGGGAAATTCTGGACTAGATGATGTTAGAGATTGTACAGGATCTTCTTAAAATGATGAAAACCGCTACCGCAAGGAGGGTGGAGTCTGCCAGGTGTTCCCGTGGACTCGGTACCAGGCTGTGGACCATAGGTGGTGGACCCCAGTGTTAAAAGTGAATTCAGCCCTAAGAAAATGTTTCCTCCAGATGTTTTCGCCTGATGTGCACCCTGCTCTATCTCCACCCTTCTCTATCTCTCATTGAGAAGGTGACTTCCTCACGAACTTTCTCCTCTGGACTTCCTCCGCAGGGCTGGGCTTCAGCATTGCGGGCGGTGTGGGCAACCAACACATCCCGGGGGACAACAGCATCTACGTCACCAAAATCATCGAAGGCGGGGCAGCCCACAAGGACGGGCGGCTGCAGATCGGGGACAAAATCCTGGCGGTAAGGCCCGGGCTGGGCGGGGCTGTGGTGGGCTGCCCAAGAACCAGGGTGGGGGAACGGTCTTACAAGAATTTCCCCCAAAGTTAAATGTAGAGATAGCCAAAAGGAATAGATAATTTCAATCCAGATTAACGAGGGTTGGTAGATCTGGCCAAATTAGCCACAATGCTTCAGGTATCTTCAGTTCCATTCAGTTTAACTTTACTCAACTCAACCCAACTCAGTTCAAGTTAACTTAACCCAACCCAACCCAACTCCACCTGGCTACTCAACTCAGCTTAATTTAACCTTATCCAACCCAACTCAATTCAACTCAACCTATTTTAACCTTACTCAACCCAACTCAATTCAACTCAACCCAATTTAACCTTACTCAACCCAACTCAATTCAACCCAATTTAACCTTACTCAACCCAACTCAATTCAAGTCAACCTAATTTAACCTTACCTAACCCAACTCAATTCAACTCAACCTATTTTAACCTTACTCAACCCAACTCAATTCAACTCAACCTAATTTAACCTTACCCAACCCAACTCAATTCAACTCAACCTAATTTAACCTTACCCAACCCAATTCAATTCAACTCAACCTAATTTTACCTTACCCAACTCAATTCAACTCATCCTCTCAATTGAAGTTCATCAAGTTCAGCACTACTCAACTTAATTTAACCATACCCAATGCAACAATTCAACTCAACCCAATTTAACGTTACCAAACCCAACTCAACTCATCCCAATTCAATTGAAATTCATCGAGCCCAACCCAACTCAACCCAACCCAACTCTTCAATGCTACTCAACCTGTTAATGTTACCCAACCCAACAATTCAACTCAAGCCAATTTAACCTTACCAAACCCAACTCAACTCATCCCAACTCAATTGAAGTTAATCTAAGCCAACCCAACTCAACCCAACCCAACTCTTCAACTCAACCCAATCCAACTCTTCAACTGAACTCTACTAAACCCAGCCTAACCCACCCAACCTAGCCCAACTCAACCCAACTCACGAACTGGTGCCTCTAAGTCATGATATGTGTGATGTCACCAGCTCTTTCTTCTTGTCGGCACCCCTAAGCATAGGCTGGGGGAAATTATTCACAACTTTCCACAAGATGGGATCTTTCAGTGAGTGGGATTACATCTCCCTTCATCTCCGATGTGTAATTCCCCATTGCTGGCTGGGGAATTCTGGGAGTTGAAGTCCACACTCTTTAAAGTTCCCGAGATTGAGAAATGCTGAGGTAAGCAGATGCTCAGTTTGTAACGAGCCAGGATGAAGATGGGTTGAGTGGGAGGCGGAGTGCCTTCACCCAACGCCACAGGTGAGTCTGTCAATCAACAGCCCTTTCTTACCCGCCCTGCAGGTGAACAATGTGAGTCTGGAGGACGTCATGCACGAAGACGCTGTGGCAGCTCTGAAGAACACCTTCGACATCGTCTACCTGAAGGTGGCCAAGCCCACCACCCTCGACCTGAACGACTCTTACGCCCCTCCTGACCTCACTTCCTGTGAGTGGCTTCCCGCCCCTTCCTCCTGATCTCTCCACCTCCTCCCCTCTTAGAGAACCTCATAACGGAGGCATCCTTGGTCGACCGTGGGCTTGAGAATGACCCTGACCCCTCCGGAGGAAACTCAACTAAACTCATCATACTTGCAAAACTGGGGAATTTTTTTTATATCTCTGGCTGTGAAGGACCTTAAAGAGCTTGATTTTTAACATTTGCGGAGCTTCGCTGATCTATTAAAAAATACATTGCTGTCCACCAACACATGAGGAATATATATTTTTTGCAAATTCTGAATTAAAGGTCCTTTTGCCTCTGCAAAAATGCCACTTTCCCTTTTTTTAATCGTGCTTCCTTCCCTTCTGCTTCTTTGCATGTGTGTTTGGCATATAAATCCAATAAACCATTATTCTTCTTCTTTATGATTAGCTTATTCTCATCACCTGGACAACGAAATCGGTCATCAGAGTTACCTGGGTAGCGACTACCCACAAGCCATGACCCCCACCTCTCCTCGGAGGTACTCCCCCATCCCAAAAGAACTGATGGGGGAGGAAGATATTCCCAGGTAAGTGCTGGCTCCGCCTCCTGGGGTGTGTGGCATTCGCGTACCTGTCACAGAGTCTTGGCTGAGTGGTTCGCTGTCCGTGGTGCTGAAGGCGGCTGTGGATTCAGCACCAAGGACAGCGAATGGCTCTGCTTGACTGCAACTGGGCCCAACATTTATGTCGTTAAGTGAGCTTTGCCCTATTTTACGACCTTTCCCGCCACTGTTGTTAAGAGAATCGGGGCGGTTGTTAAATGAGGAACACGGGTGTTAAGTGAATCTGGATTCCACATTGACTTGGCCTGTTAGAAGGTTGCCAAAGGGCATCGCGCTATCTCCGGCACGCTGCGACCGTAATAAATACGAGTCAGTGGCCAAGACAGTTTCAATTTGTAGTGAGTCCGGCGGACTGCCATAGGGCGCGTGGCCACCGCAGAGGAAGACATAAAGCAGTAGTGGCGAACCTATGGCGCAAGTGCCAGAGGCGGCACTCGGAGCCCTCTCTGTGGGCACACGTGCCGTTGCCCCAGCCTCGCCTCCCCCCATGACCCCCTCCTCACCAGCAGCCCCCCTGGAGGAGAGTCGCCCCTGAGTGTGGCCCACACGGAGCAGTGCAGCCAAGGACATGGCAGCCAGGCAGCGTAGACAAGACTCTGCCCTCACGCCCCATCGCGCACAGTTGATGCTGCAGGGCGCGGGCAGAGGGCGTGGCCGCCATGGCGCTGCTGGGCTGCCTGGGTGATCTGCGGCGGGCCCTGGAGGCAGTGAATGGCCCTGCGGGCAGGCAGGGTGGGGGCGGAGTGGGGTGGGGCAGGGGTGGAGTGGGGGCAGGGCCAGATTTTGGGCACTCGGTCTCTAAAAGGTTCGCCATCACTGACATAAAGGATTGGGGTTCGTTTCGTCTGAAAAAGAGACCAAGCGGAGATCTGAGTACAGATTGTAATGAGCTGAAAGGGTTAGGAAGGCAGGGCGAGGAAGGAATCGCATGAGACGCCAGGAGGAGGGGAGTCCCTTTCCAACTCGGCAGCTTGAAGGTGTGTGTATGGACTTCAACTCCCAGAGTAGCCCAGCCAGCGGGGGAGCGGGGGTTGGACTAGATGACCCCCCCGGGACCCTTTTAAGCGTCACACCCTCGCTTTTTCTCTCCCTCCAGGGAACCGCGCCGCATCGTGATCCACCGTGGCTCAACAGGGCTGGGGTTCAACATTGTGGGGGGCGAAGACGGCGAGGGCATTTTCATCTCCTTCATCCTGGCCGGAGGACCGGCTGACCTCAGCGGAGAACTTCGGAAAGGGGACCAGATCCTCTCAGTAAGATCCTCCCCCCCCCCGTCCTGCTCCTGCTGATCCCTCCAAGGGCTGGCTGCGGGTGGGGGAGGGGTGGGCAGGCCTGAGGGGGAACCAGAATGATAAGCAAGATAATAAACATCATACTTATTTGGTTATTCGGGTTTTCTCCCGCGTAAAATTGGAAGTGTCTTGGCGACGTTTCAATGAAGTCCCATTCGTCATCTTCAGGCTGGTATTTTCGGCTTCGTGCTTCTAGGAGCAATGAAGCACGAAGCCGAAGACACCAGCCTGAAGATGACGAATGGGACTTTGTCGAAACGTCGCCAAGACACTTCCAATTTGACATGGGAGAAAACCCGAATAACCAAAGACCTACATACAAACACCCGTGAAAACCTCAGAAGACAAATATATATATATATATATATATATATATATATATATATATATATATATATATATTCAAAAGATAAAAACGAACACCAGGAGGTAAAACAATTAAATGTTTAATAATGTTTATTAAACATTTAATTGTTTTACCTCCTGGTGCTCGTTTTTATCTTTTAAATATGTATACACCCAGGAGACTACGTTCCTCAATTTTTATGTTAATTTTTAATATATATATATATATATATATATATATATATATATATATATATATATATATATATATATTATACTGCTTAGTATATTGCTCACTATCCTGTTTACTATAATATATATAATATTTATTATAATATTTATTATACTTTATTATATTGCTTATTATAATGTACAATATTTATTGCAATATTTATTATGGTTTATTATATTGCTTATTATAATACACATTTATTATAATATTTATTATATTGCTTATTATAATATATATGCAATATTTATTGTAATATTTATTATACTGCTTATTATACTACTTATCATAATATATATGTCTATGTATGTAGGTATATATTATATTATAAAGCAGTAGAATAAGCAGTGTGTGACAGCAACTAAAGAGGCTAACACAAACCCTGGGTTGTATAAACAGAGGCATAGAATCAAAATCAGGTGAGGTATTTAGGACTGCTTTATGAAGCCTTAGTAAGGCCACATCTGGAATAATGCAGCCAGTTGTGGTCCCCACATTACAAAAAAGATGTTGAGACTTTAGAAAAAGTGCAGAGAAAAGCAACAGAGATGATCAAAAGCCTGGAGACTAAAACATACAAAGAACAGCTGCAGGATTTGGGTTTGGCCAAAAGGACAAGGGGGGGGACATGATAGCAGCCTTCCAGTATCTCAGGGGCTGCCCCAAAGAAGAGGGAGTCAAGCTATTATCCAAAGCGCCTGAAGGCAGGACAAGAAGCAACGGATGGAAACCAATCAAGGAGAGAAGCAACCTAGAACTAAGGAGAAACTTCCTGACAGTGAGAACAATTAACCAGTGGAACTACTTGCCTCCAGAAGCAGTAAATGCTCCAACACTGGAAGTTTTTAAGAAGAGACTGGATAGCCACTTGTCCAAAATGGTGTAGGGTTTCCTGCCTGAGCAGGGGGTTGGACTAGATGACCTCCAAGGTCCCTTCCAGCTCTTCTGATCAGTTATTAACTTCTTCCGACAGGTCAACGGCGTGGATCTCAGGAACGCTACCCACGAACAAGCTGCCATCGCTCTGAAAAACGCCGGGCAGACGGTCACCATTATTGCCCAGTACAAACCAGATGGTAAGATTTTTTGGGGGGTGGGGGAGAGAGACCCAACGCAGGACACACGAGTGGATGTGGAAGACAGGGTGGATGAAAATCAACCCCTCAACCTGGACAGTGGCGAGGAGAGGGGTTTTTTTTTTTTGATAATTTGTGAGCTTTCCTGGTGGTGTTTCATCCTGGTTAGTTATAACTAAGACAGTCGCAAAAGGGGATCATGTGACACCGGGACGCTGCGACCGTCATAAAAACGAGTCAGTTGCCAAACATCTGAATTTTGATCACGTGACCCTGGGGGTGCTGCCAACGGTCGTTAAGTGTGAAAAATGGTCATGTCCCTTTTTTCATGGCCATAACGGTCACTAAATGAACTGTTATAGGTTGAGAACTGCCCGTATTGTGCCATGCACAACAAAGAGGCATGGCTTTGGTCCCGGCTGCCATCTTGACTTTTTCGACCTGCCCTGCAGATGCTTTGGGTGGAAACGTCTGCAGAGGAGGGGGCTATTTGAAATGGGGGTTGGGGGGCATTGAAATGTCACCTGTCGCTTTTGGAGGTGTCAGTGATCATCTCTGTGTTTAATGCTTCTCAACATGGTGACCTTTAAGAGGAGAGAACCTCAACTCCCAAAATTCCCCAGCCAGCCACGCCTGTTTTTATTCTCCTATCATCTCCTAGAGCAGAGAGATTGCAGAGGGAGGGATTAAAAGAGAGTAAGCAGGCCACAATGGATGTATATATCAAAAGGAATGTATTCGTGCCAGGGAATTCTGGGAGTTGAAGTCCTCACCTCTTAAAGTTCCCAGGTTTGAGAAGTACCAGACTTGATGATCTTTGGGGGCATTTCAATTCTACAACTCTGTGATTCTGTGACGCAGCATCACAAAAACACACATAGACCCGTTTCCTGATCTCTCCCCTTCTAGAGTATAGCCGCTTTGAAGCCAAGATCCACGATCTGCGGGAACAGCTGATGAACAGCAGTTTGGGTTCAGGAACCGCCTCGCTTCGGAGTAACCCCAAAAGGGGCTTCTATATCCGGTGAGCCCCCAGCCCTTAGGACCCCCGTCCCAGTGTCCACGGGTGTCCTCCTCCCCCCCCCCAAAAAAAATCAGTGGGGTAGTAACTATATTATTTTTAAAATAAGAATCTGTGTGCTTTCCTGGTGGAAATGTCCCGTTCACAGATAATCCTTGATTTTTTAAGAATGGACAGCCATTTGTCTGAAATGATATAGGGTTTCCTGCCTGAGGAACTGTACATGCAGCCCATCTCACCATCCAGCGAATTTAAGGGACGGGGCAAGTTTGAAACAGTCCATGATATTTTGGCCTTCTCACCTGTTTGCCCACTCTCATTCCCCCTTCCATCGAACAGGGCTCTCTTCGACTACGACAAGACCAAGGATTGTGGTTTCTTGAGCCAAGCTCTGAGTTTCCATTTTGGCGACGTCCTACACGTCATCGATGCTTCCGACGAGGAGTGGTGGCAGGCGCGACGTGTCCATCCGGATGGCGACAGTGACGAGCTTGGCTTTATTCCCAGCAAGAGGCGGTAAGGGAGAGGATCTTTGGGGAGGGGAGGGGTCTCTCCTGCGACTTTTGAAAGTGGGGTTCAGGGCACACAGAGACACGCACTACACACCCATGCATTAAAATGTGTTCGGCTGTGGCCAAATTCTCCCATCTTGGAACATGTCTGTGGTCTTGCCTGGTTGTGTGAAAACCACCAAATCCCTTTGCGGTCGCCAAAAATTGATATGCTAGATCGTGTCAATCAATCTCGTAAAATCTATGTGAAGATGCTCAATTCTTGGTGGCGAAATTTGATGGTCTTGTGCCATTTGCGGTGGTTTTTAATGGTGGGGGCCGTCTTTGGGCAGTTGGAGAAGTTCCTGGACTTTGGCGATTGTTGGGCTGAGAAGGAAGGCCTTGGGGTCACCAACTGATGAGTCTTCTCTCTCTCTGCCTTCTGCAGGGTCGAGCGACGGGAGTGGACGCGGTTAAAAGCAAAGGTGAGTCCATCCTTGGTCTTGCAAAAGATGGGGTTCAGGACCCTAACATAACTGTGGGGCATTTGTCAAGAACTATACACTGAGAGATAATTTAGAATTACCGAGAAGCGACTAATCTGGAGCGTGGCTAAACCCTCTCTGATGACACGTAGTTCTCGAGTTATGACCATTCAGAGTTACGTCTTGAAGTCACATGATTGTGATCTGGGCGCTTGGCAGCTGACTTGTATTTACAACCGGTTGCAGGACCTCACAATTATGTGAATGCCGTTTGTGACATTTCCTGCTGGCTTCCCCAGAAAGTCACTGGGGAAGACAGCAGGAAAGATTGCAGGTCACTGATGTTAATTTTCCTCACCCGACCCTCTAAGCATGCACTGACTCAGCCTTTTGCAAGCCCCGTACACAGTGGTAGGATTCAGCCAGTTCGGTAGAACTGGTAGCTAATTTTTTGTTACCCAGGCCCAGAACGGATTTCTGGAAGTCACATCCATGCAGAGAACCGGTTGTTCACATATTTGAATCCGACCACTGCCTGTACACCCTTCTCAAGTCTCATCGTGCCTCCCTTGCACACTCACACACCGTCCCCGGGCCTTGCTGCACCTCCCCACCACTCGTGCACTCCCATGCACCCTTCCCAAGGTTCATCATGTCCCTTTCACCCTCACACACCCTCAGCCCCACTATGCCTCCCTTACACTCTTATACACCCTGCACACCCTTGTCACACCTCCCCTGCCACTCACACACCCCGGCAATTTCCTCCCCTCCAAGGGTCTCCACGCCTCCCCTGCCACTCGCACACTCCTGTCCATCAGCAGCTTACCTACCTGCCACCTGTTTGCAAACACCTGGGATTGGCAACTGCCTATAGCTTTTGGTAGTGGAGCCAGCGGGAAGCTAAATGAGGTTCTCGTCTAACCACCAGTGTGATTCAATTAACCTCGGTTCGGACTGCAGGGATTGCTGTTACTAAGCCATGTGGGAATCCTACTCCCAATTGTCCCCTAACTCCAGGACAACCTGGAACACCTGTTATTAATTTGTTAGCTTGCAAGCTGGGAATTCAAAATTAAAGTCCACCCGTCTTCAAGGTGACGAGGTTGGGGCACCCAGCTCCGAGCCAGCTCCGCCCAGGCACGCTGCTCGTGTGTGTGTGTGTGTGTGTGTGTGTGTGTGTGTGTGTAGAGGGATCTGATAAGAGCCGAAGTGGCGCAGCAGTTAGAGTGCAGTACTGCAGGCCACTTTAGCTGACCCTGTTCAGCAGGTCAGCGGTTCAAATCTCACCGGCTCAAGGTTGACTCAGCCTTCTATCCTTCCGGGGTAGGTAAAATGAGGACCCAGATTGTTGGGGGCAATGTAAAATATATATGTATATATACATTGCTTACTGGTGTACACCGCTTAGAGAGTGCTTGCACTTAAAGCGGTATATAAGTCTCATAAATAAATAAATAAATAAATCTGTCCTGAATTAGCCCCAAAGATCTCTTCTGCAGCTTGGAAAAATCTTTCTAACAAGACATACCTGCATGGTGTGGCAAAGACAGTTTAATGTCCATGGAATAGCGCATCTGAGCAGGGTCCTACAGATCCGTGTGTCCTGCGGGACAGAGTGGTGGGCTTTGTCCACATCTGGAGGACCTCTCAGGGTGGGACCAGCTGTCACCTTTTGTCCTGCGCCTGGAGTCCTGGGGAAGAAGCTTCCCACCCAGAGTCCACTCCCCTCCCTTTGAGGAGGAACACCCCTCCAGTGTCCACAAACATAGTCCCCACCTCCGTCACAGAAACAGAGGTGTGCATTCCCCTCTCTTTCTCTCTGCTCCTCCTCTCTTCCTCTTCCTTATTTTCTCTTCCTTCCTTCCTCCTCCAGGATCGGGGCCCTGGATCAGGCTGTCAAGGTGGGTGTCAGTCTCTGAGATCCTGCTTCATGAACCTTTGTCTTTCCTCCCGTCTCCTTCCCTGCTTGCTGTCTGTTTCTCTCCGCTGTCCCTGTTCCTCCTCCTCCTCCTCCACCACCACCACCATCACCACGAAGAATATTTGACCACACTCCCTATTTTTCCCTCTGCAGGTCGAGAAGATGCTGTGTTGAGCTACGAAACCGTTGTGCAGATGGAAGGTGAAATTCCCCCCCCCCCATTTCTGGCTTCTTTGCTCGTTCCCCCGCTGGTGCTGTGGTTCACAACATCGGTGTCCCATCTTCCAGGGCCAATGCAGTGGACAGAAAAGCTGTGTGAAACACCCCCCCCTCTCCCAAATGAAGTAAAAAGAGGAAAAACATAGGCCAGTCAGGAAAGACAAGTAGAAATGGTTATCCGATGTAGATAAGGGAACCCATCGCTGGTCAAGGCAGTTGAAAGGCTTCTCTGAATGGGCTGGGAGTGATGGAAGGTGTCGTCCAACACTTCTGAAAGGCAGCAGATTGGCGCAGGGGGGGGGGTTGGTTCCTTGGCTAAACTCTCTGTCAACCCCCCCTCATACACACACACACTATGCCCCCCCCCCAGAATTTGCCTTTTTCTTTCAGTTCTTTCTGCCTCCATCACCCTCAACCCGAGGGGGCAAATCGATTTGATTTCTCCTTTGATATCACATCACAGTTGAACAGTTCCAAAACAGCCGTGAAGCCAATTTGGAACACGTGGGGAAATGGCCTGGATTTCTCCCACCTGCATGCTTGAGCAGGGGGTTGGACTAGATCAGCAGTCCCCAACCTGTGGGCCACTGCCCGGTAGTGGGCCGTAGCCTGCTGGCCACTGGGCTGTGGGTCAGGCTGGCCAATGCCTGCGTGTGTGCATGCACACCCCCTCACTTGTGCTAGCGCCATGGCTGTGGGGCACAAAAACAAGACTCTGCACCACGAGGCACGAAAGCGGCCACCGCCGCACCCCAGGGCATGAAAATGGGACTCCGCCATGCCACGGGGTGTGGAAACGGGGTGCAAAAACGGGTCACCGCCACGCAAGGCACAAAAACGGATGCCGTCGTGCAGAAACAAGACGCTGAGCCACGCAAGAATGGGGTAGGGTTAGTATCACGTAGGCGCTAGCCACGCACCCTTTGCAGCATGTAGGTGCTTGCGGCCCTGTGCTCACGCACATGCATAAAATGCTTCCCCCCTCCCTTTTACTCTGGTCCGCCAACCGACAAAGGTTGGTGACCTTTGGATTAGATGACCTCCAAGGTCCTTCCAATTATGTGGTTCTAGTATTCTGCTAATTAATTCCCTTCCAATGCAGACACTTGACTCTATAGGCCTTTTGCACCCCCGGGCTTATCTGCGGACGACAGCTGCTATCTTGAATTTTTGGACACACACACACACACACACACACACACACACACCACACACCTCCGGCATAGTCCCTTGTTTCCCGAGTCCTACTGTGCCTACTTTTAAATACAGGTACTCCTCAACGTACGATCGCAATTCAGCCCCAAATTTATATTGCTAACCGAGATACTTGTTAACTGAGTTTTGCCACATTTTACAACTTTTCTTGACGCGGTTGTTAAGTGAATCACTTTAGTTGTTAAGTGAGTAACAGGGTTGTAAAGCAAATCTGGCTTCCCCGTGGATTGTATCCTCAGAAAGTCGCAAAAAGTGGCCCCAGGAAGCTGCGATTGTCATGAATATGAGTCAGTTGCCAAGCATCCAAATTTTCATGATGCTGCAACTGTCGTAAGTGAAAAAAAAAATGATCATAGATCTCTTTTTTCAGTGCCATTGTAACTTTAAATGGTCACTAAAGGAGTTGTAAATCGAGGTATACTTGGACAACAATGATTCCCGGGAGTGGGGGAGACAGTGGTCTCCCCTTTTGTGGGAATCTTAACTTAGACACAATTGCAGTCGTACCCTACCTACATTTTGCACGCACTGTTGGGGCTATCCGCAAATGATCTCAGTGGCTCAAAATTTCGAGGTCCCTGCTTGGGTTTTGGCTTCCCCCCCTTCTAATCATGATGACCCTTCCTCTTTTTAACTTGTCTGCCTTTTGTTCCAGTTCATTATGCCCGTCCGATCATTATTTTGGGGCCCACCAAGGACCGTGTCAACGACGACCTCCTCTCTGAGTTTCCAGACAAATTCGGGTCTTGCGTGCCACGTGAGTCCACCGCAGAGCGGTCCTCCCCCATGGGGGGATCTGGGGTTTTGGATCTCTTGACTCAGTGGTTCTCAACCTGTGGGTCGGGACCCCATTTGGGGTCGAACGACCATTTCACGGGGGTCGCCAAATTACGCAGTCCGCCATTTTTTTCCCCCTTTTCCTTAGCTGTGCTCCTCCCTTTTATTCTATTGGCTTTTGAAAGCCAATAGAATAGACTCTCTTGAATAGAGTCTAATTCTATGGGCTTTCAAAAGCCAATAGGAATTGTCCAGGCTGTCTCTGCCCTGCTGAGCCCGCCAAAAGTCCCATTCTGCAAACGGGGCTGCACCAGTTGAGTAGTCCTCCACTTACGACCAGTTGAGTAGTCCTCGACTTGCGACCGGTTGGGGGGTCGCGGCATTAAAAAGGTTGAGAACCACTGTCTTAACTGGATCTGGAGAAATGAATTTGGGGGGAGGGGCTGCAGGGTTCCTCCACCCTACGCTGAAAGGGAGCGACGCAAACCCTCCCTTGCAGACACCACGCGGCCGAAACGGGAGTACGAAGTGGACGGCCGAGATTACCACTTTGTGGCTTCGCGGGAGAAGATGGAGAAGGACATTCAAGGCCACAAATTCATTGAGGCCGGACAGTACAATAGCCACCTTTATGGGACAAGCGTCCAGTCCGTACGGGAAGTGGCTGAGCAGGTACGTGGCAGGACACGGAGACGGGCGAGCAGAGTCGTCCGCAGGAGGAGCATAAAAAGTAAAACGGGGTTTTGTCCACGTGGGCTGTGGCTTACCATATTGTGACCCCCCCACACACACACCTTTGAAAAAACCCCCCCCGCAAGGAAGAGAGAGGGCTGAGGCTGGTCCACACAGTTCTTAGCCAAGTCAGCAGCAGCCAAGTCACAAATGAGGATCACGTGACCCCCCAGGACAGTATAACCGTCATCAAATACAAGTTGATCACGTGACCAGAGGGATGCTGCAACGGTTGTACGCGTAAGTTTCTGAGCCCATCATTCATATATGAGCCGAGGTGGCGCAGCAGTTAGGGTGCAAGTACTGCAGGCCACTTTAGCTGACTGTGTTCAGCAGGTCAGCGGTTCAAATCTCACCGGCTCAAGGTTGACTCAGCCTTCCATCCTTCCGGGGTAGGTAAAATGAGGACCCAGATTGTTGGGGGCAATATAAATATATATATATACATTGCTTACTGGTGTACACCGCTTAGAGAGTGCTTGCACTTAAAGCGGTATATAAGTCTCATAAATAAATAAATAAACAAATTCTCTTCCCTCCCCCCCCCGTCCAGGGCAAGCACTGCATTTTGGACGTCTCTGCCAACGCCGTCCGGAGGCTGCAAGCCGCTCAGCTTCACCCCATCGCCATTTTCATCCGGCCCCACTCCCTCGAGAATGTTTTGTGAGTAGGGGGGTCCTGCGGGGTGGGGAGCTGGGAGGGGAGCTGCACACGCGTGCTGGTCAGGGTTTGGGGGGGGCTATAAAGAGGCTGCAGCCAAGCAAGGGGGAGGTAGGGGGAAAGCTTTGTCCTCCTCCCCCAATGTTGGGGTCTGATGGGAGCGAGACACACGGAGGCAAAGCATGGCAGAGGATTGTGCTGCGGAACTCCCCGCCACAAGAGCAAGGAAGACAGCAGGTCACCCCGGCTCCGCCCTTGGCTGGGAGGAGTTTTGGTAGATGGAGCCTCCCTGTTTAGGGGCAGTCAGGGACACGCAGGTTAGGTCTCAGTTAAGAGATTTCAGTCCTTTCTCCATGAAGAGAATGACCATCAGCTCCGGGACAGACATTTGCTTAAATGGCAGCCCTTTTTTGCTCAAATTCCACCCTTCTCCAACCAAAAACGGTCTGGACTACTGCCCTTCCCATCACTCACAATCAGCACAAAGGCTACTCCAACACATCTTGAGCTTCCATGTTCAGGAATAGTCTACCTTACCCTGAGCAAACATAGAACCATTAGGCCAGGAAGGAGGAGGAGGAGGAGGAACTACCCCAGTGGGGTTCTCTGCCCATGTGCAGAGATCCAGGGTTGAAATGAACAAGGGGACAAGGCGGTCCAAGGGGTTTTTTCGGGGTCGTTAATGTGTGCTGTTTGTGACCCCAGAGAAATTAACAAGCGGATAACAGAGGAGCAGGCGCGGAAGGCCTTCGACAGAGCTACAAAACTGGAGCAGGAATTTACAGAATGCTTTTCAGGTAGGTTCGAATCCGTATCGTCACAATTTTTTTTAAAAAAAAACCTATAATCTCAAGTTGCTAGTCCACCTGCATGTATCTGGAGACGATCGAAGTGTGTTTGTGTGGATGTGAGTCTCGGGCATCCTCGCAGCTGGTATGGAATTGAGAGCAACATTTCCTTCTCAAGAGAAACATGGGTTATGTAGTATGCAGGTAGTCCTTGACAGGGATAGGTGGGATTTAAATGAGATAGAGCAGTGGTTCTCAACCTTTTTAATGCCGCGACCCCCCCCAACCGGTCATAAGTCGAGGACTACTCAACTGGTCGTAAGTCGAGGACTACTCAACTGGCGCAGCGCCGTTTGCAGAATGGGACTTTTGGCAGACTCAGCAGGGCAGAGACAGCCTGGACAATTCCTATTGGTTTTTGAAAGCCAATAGAATCGGACTCTATTCAAGAGAGTCTCTTCTATTGGCTTTCAAAAGCCAATAGAATAAAAGGGAGGAGCACAGCTAAGGAAAAGGGGAAAAGAAAATGGCGGACTGCGTTGTTTGGCGACCCCCGTGAAATGGTCGTTCGACCCCAAATGGGGTCCCGACCCACAGGTTGAGAACCACTGAGATAGAGGGATACAGGGCAAGGCGAGTCCATGAAGCAAAAAGCCAGTGGTGGGATTCAGATATGTGAACAACTGGCTCTCTGTGTGGATGCCGTTTCCGGAAGTCCGTACTGGGCCTGGGCAACAAAAAAATTAGCTACCAGTTCTGCTGAACTGGTGCGAACTGGCTGAATCCCACCACTGCAAAAGGCCCACGGCAAGGCACAGGAAAAAACGCGAGCCAAGGGTGAGGTGTGAGGAGAGGCAGGGCAGCCTCCTCGCCAGCAGCCTTGCCGACCTCCTTTGAGCTTGCCTCCGCTCTACTCTCCGTGCCCTCGGATCGAGCGGGGGAGGCAGCTGTTCCTCATCAGAGGGGATTCATTGCCTCGCAACATCGTTGCCTATCTGTAGCTGATCTTCCCCCTCCCCCCCCCCAGTGTCTGTAAGGGCAGGAATCTCTCCATCCGGTCGACCATCTACCCCAGTGGTTCTCAACCTGTGGGTCGGGACCCCATATGGGGTCGAATGACCATTTCACGGGGGTCGCCAAACAACGCAGTCCGCCATTTTTTCCCCCTTTTCTTTGGCCACGCCCCTGGCACCCGGTGATGTATAAGTGGTTGGGGGTCACCACAACATGGGGAACTGTATTATGGGGTCGCGGCATTAGAAAGGTTGAGAACCACTGACCTACCCCTATGCCTCAAGGGTCTAGGACAACATCGTCCTCTCCAAACATCCCAAGGGAGATGTGCCATCTCCCCGTCGGACAGTCCCACTTCCAACTCCTCCTCCTCCGAACGGGGGCGCGATGGGGCCATGACCCCTTCAGAGGATTTCCCCCCCTTGCTCACCCCAGGGTGCTCAGCCTCCCTTCTTCTCTCCCCTCCAGCCATCGTAGAAGGAGAGAGTTTTGAAGAGGTCTACCACAAGATCAAGAGAATCGTCGAGGAACTCTCTGGTCCCTATATCTGGATTCCGGCTCGTGAAAGACTTTAGGGCGATGAACTAAATTTCCCGGGAAGGGAATCCTTGAATTCCACCCACCGACCGCACCAACTCTGCAACCGCATCGCCGGAGCTGCCTCTGGAGCAGAGGAGCGCCCCTGCCTCTTGCCCCCCCCTGAACTTAGCTGTCGGTCACTCTTTTGGGGTGGGGGGGTGGGCAAACGCCTCAAGATATGCCCTTATTTTGAGTTGTTTCTTCTTTAAGACTCGGATGGGGAAGGGGACGGGAAGACAGTGTGCTATATATATTTTTTCTTCTTGTCTGACTCGCGTGGCGATGCCCCCCCCTCCCCGTTTTTCTTTCCGCAGCGCAAAAGAGGGGCTGCTGACCTCCTCCCCCTGGTCCCCAACAGCGCTAGCATTTGCATGCGGTCATTTTGGGAGGGGAGGAGAAAAAAAAGGGGGGGCTGTCCTTAGACTCTGATCTCTTTTATTTGGCGAGCAGGAAGCGGGTCAGGAATCGGGAAGGAAGGAAGGAAGGAAGGAAGGAAGGAAGGAAGGAAGGAAGGAAGGAAGGAAGGAAGGAAGGAAGGAAGGAAGGAAGGAAGGAAGGATTTTTTTTAATGTTCTTTTTTTCTATAAGCAGAAGACACTTTGATCTCTTTACGTCTTCTGAACGTGGCCGAGGCAGAGTTCCTCATTGGATACACATTGGAAGGAGAATTTGGGAAGACTATGGATTCTTGTGAGTTTCATCTTCTTGAGCCGAGGAAGGAGACAATTGGGAGAAAAAGAGAGAGGAAAAGCCCTCTGCAAAAGGGTTGAAATCATTCTCCATTTTGCTTTTTAAAATTTCATTTCCCCCCCTCCCCCGGAAAGGAAGAAAAAATAGCTCTCCTTCTTTCCCTGTATATATTTTGAGTGAAGAATTATTGTTATTATTATTAGTTAAAATAGTGCTTCTCAACCTGGTGACCTTTAAGAGGAGAGAGCTTCAACTTCCAGAATTCCCCAGCCAGCCACGCCTGTTTTTATTCTCCTATCATCTCCTAGAGCAGAGAGATTGCAGAGGAAGGGATTAAAAGAGAGTAAGCAGGCCACAAGGGGTGTACAGGTCAAAAGGAATGTATTCGTGCCAGGGAATTCTGGGAGTTGAAGTCCACTCGCCTTAAAGTTGCTGAGGTTGAGAGACACTGAATTTGAACAAGAATTGGAGAAGAAGCATAGCCCAGTGACTTAGAAATTTTATTCATATATATGTGAAATAACTGTCACGTATATATATAAAAAGGCTTTTTTTTCAGTTGCATTTTTCCTTTTTGGACTCTTCTTATTTTTGATTTCCTTGAGTACAATACAGGAAGAGTCGCCTGCAACGTCAAGAGAGGACAAAAAAAAAGAGATTTTTTTTCTTTCTATGGAAGGGAAAGGAAGAGGAGAGGAGAAAGAGAGAGAAAAAGAAGATCGACATCCACAACAACAACAAATAATATTTTTTTTCTATGTCCTGTGATTCTTTTTTTGCGGTCATATCAAGTCTTTTTGGTGTGGCTGTGCGTGATATTACGAAAAAAAGATATATATGTAAAGGAGAAACAGTTTTTAATGGGGGGAAAAAATCTATTTCGGAGAATTGGTTTTGATTTTCCATTGGAAAATGGTCATTTCCAAGAGGAATGGATTATTATTATTATTTTTTTGTACATACGAGCAAAAAACAAAAGAGAAACTGGAAGGGGGAAGAAAGTTAGTTAGAGAAATTATACGCCCCCCTTACTGCTTGGGAAGCCCCCCGCAAGACGCAGAATTCGAGACGCAAAATTCACAATTCCGGAACTCGTGGCGGGTGGGCAGAAATGGTGAATTACTAGAATAAAACGACAGGGAGCAATTTCAGGGGGAGAAAACCTCCCCCCCCCCAGCTTATGTCGTCGGCACGTTCTGCCTTGCGGGTTTCTATCCGCCCCCCTCCCTCGAACCGTTTTTGAGGCAACGGGCGCTCTCCGGAAAGCGAATCAAGTTCCTAGTCCTCAGCGTCTGCGGGAACGAGATAAAAAATAGCGCAGGCAGGCCGATCGATCCCATTTTTTTTTCAACATCGCCTTCCGACGAAGAGAGAGGCTTGCGCACCCCCTCCCCACGGCTGAGTCCAACTGCCCCCCCCCCCGGTGGGAGACCACCCTCTCGTTTTTTATTTCAAGCTTTGGTTTCTTTTACGCTCATCCAGGTCAAGGGGGGGGGGAGAAGAGAGCGCGAGAGAGGGAGGCGGGGGGGGAAGAGTTTTTTTTTTCTGAGCACAACAAAGAGGCAGCTCGGGGTGGTCTAGATGGCTCTGGGTGCCCCCCTCAGTGGCCGATTCCAGGGAGAGAAGGCAGCTGGCTGGGAGGCATCAATTGTCCAGGGAAAAGGGGGGGGAGGGGGGAATATATAAATATATATGTATAGAGAGAGAAAGATTTATTTATTGCCCCAGTTTCCAAGGGATGCCCCCATCCTGCAAACCTGGCTGCTTTTGCCCCCCCCCCCGAGGTAGGGCCTGATTTTTTGAGGGGGAGCTAGTGGGGGTCTCAACCCCTTCCCCCCATCCCCCTCCCCTCGCGCTCAGCAGAGGTGGCAGCCATCCTGCTGATTGACTTGTCAAGGGCTTTCAACCCAGGGACAGGATCCCTGAGCCCCCCCCCCCACGCCGTTCTCCCCCCTCCCACATACCGCCCAATGATGGGGTGGGGGGGGGGGCGCAGAAGAAGTTGGTCGGGCAGAAAAAGGGTCATTGGTTCCCCTTGCAAAAATGCCAAAAAATAAAATAAAATAAATAAAATGAAATGAAAATTTAAAGAACTAGCTGGGGGGGGGGTCTTGCGGGCAGGGGCACTGAGGATCGGCAGGGGTGGGGGCGGGGCTGGGGGAGGGAGATATAAGAGAGTATTTTGCATAGAAATATTATCGCCTTCGGCAATGAATAATTAAAAATCAACGAAAACCCACCAGGCGTGTCTGGCAGAGTGATTTATTTTTGGGGTGGGGTGGGGGATTCAACAGCCGGGATTCCCCTCCCCCCCCCGTTCGTTTTAAAAGTCTTTTTTGTTTTGTTTTGTTTAAATAAACACAGAAAAAGAGACCAAGCCATCTGCTTGAATGGGCCTTCAATTTGGTCTCAATAAAATACAATATATTGATATTCATCTCGAGGAATTTTATAACAGGGGTTTTTTTTCACACGCTGTCCCATTGACAGAGATATATATATATATGCCACCTGCTTATATCAGTCTTAATTTGGGGGGAGCTGACCACTCCCTTCCTCCTTCCTTCCCTTCCTTCCTTCCTTCCTTCCTTCCTTTTCTTCCTTCCTCCCTTCTCTTTCCCTCCTTCCCTTCCTCCATCCTCCCTCCCTCCTTTTCCTTCCTTCCTTCCTCCCTCCCTTCCTTCTTCTCTCTCCCTTCCTCCCTTTCTTTCCTCCCTCTCCCTCCCTTCTTCCTTCCTTCCTTCCTCCCTTCTTCTCTTTCCCTTCCTTCCTTCCTCCCTTCTTCTCTTTCCCTTCCTTCCTCCCTCTTCCACCCTCCCTCCTTTCCTTCCTTCCCTCCCTCCTTTTACTTCCTTTCTTCTCTCTCCCTTCCTTCCTTCCTCCCTCCCTTTGTTTCTTTTTTTCCTTCCTTCCTCCCTTCCTCCCTTTTTCTTCCTCCCTCCCTCCCTCCCTTCCTTCCTCCCACCCTCCCTCCTTTTCTTCCTTCCTTCCCTCCCTCCTTCCTGCCTCCCTTTTCCTTCCTTTTCTTCCTTCCTTCTCTCTCCCTTCTTTCCCTCCCTCCCTTTCTTCTTTCTGTCTTTCTTTCCTTCTTTCTTCCCTCCCTCCCTTCCTTCTCTTTTTTCTTCCTTCCCTCCTTCCTTCCCTCCCTCCTTTTACTTCCTTTCTTTCTTCTCTCTCCCTTCCTCCCTCCCTTTGTTTCTTTTTTTCCTTCCTTCCTCCCTTCCTCCCTTTTTCTTCCTTCCCTCCCTCCCTCCCTTCCTTCCTTCCTTCTTCTCTTTCCCTTCCTTCCTCCCACCCTTCCTCCTTTTCTTCCTTCCTTCCCTCCCTCCTTCCTGCCTCCCTTTTCCTTCCTTCCTTTTCTTCCTTCTCTCTCCCTTCCTTCTTTCCCTCCCTCCCTTTCTTCTTTCTGTCTTTCTTTCCTTCTTTCTTCCCTCCCTCCCTTCCTTCTCTTTTTTCTTCCTTCCCTCCTTCCTTTCCTTCCTTCCTTCCCTCCCTCCTTCCTGCCTCCCTCCCTTTTTTTTATTCCCTTCCCTCCTTCCCTTCCTTTCCTTCCTTCCTTCCCTTCCCTTCCCTCCCTCCCTCCTTCCTTCCATCCTCTCCCTCCCTCTCTTCCGTTGAGATGTCCTGGACGTGATCTCTGTCGTTTTCTGGGCAAGGGGTTTCCAGAGGGGCTTTGCCATTGTCCCCTTCCCAGGGCTCAGAGAGAGGGAGGGCTAAAACCGAAGCCCCAGAGGAAAACTGCCAGCGGGGGGGGGGGCGGCTTCTGTAAAAACTATAGGAGCCCCCCCAAACACACACACACACACACACTTGTAGATTTTGTCTTTGGGCTCCCTGGCAGAGCTCGCCTAAAGCACAAGAATGTACGTAGCGATGCTTTTATCCCAGGGCTCTTCAAACTGGGCCCTTTTAGGACTTGTGGACCTCAACTCCCAGAATTCCCCAGCCAGCATTGTTCTGAAGTCCACCCATCTTCGTGGGGCCAAGGTTGAGCCACGCTGCCTCAGGAGAAGAGGTGCTGCTTAGGGACGCAGCCCGGACAGAAGGAGAAACTCAGAAACTGACTCACTTCTCCGTCTGCAAAAGAGACGGCGGCGGATTCGTACTTTCAGACGTGCAAGGTGTGGTTGAGGTAGCCTTAACCGCAAAGTAGTGTTAGCCTTGTGTTTCCTGGCTAGGGGGATCAGCTGGAAAGGCCGACACTCACCCTGGAACACGGCAACAACACAAAAGGCACCAGCAGGTGGAGCAGCCTTGTCACGGATTGTGCGGTCTTCACCCTCCTTTTTAAGAATCGTGCCTTGGGGCTGTGTGATCACACACACAGAGACACACACAGAGACACTGCTGGCACTTTGCCTGGGGGGCTTCGTAAGGATTGCAAAGAGGCAGAGCGGGGAAAGAGAACCACTTTGGCTTACGGAAGTGGAAACTGGGTGGCTGTGAGTTCTAGTCCTGCCTTAGGCACAAAGTCACTGGAAGACTTCAAGGCAGCCACTTTATCTGAGCCCCTTTTTTTTTTGAGGGGTGGGGGAACCTTGCCAAGAAAACTGCAGGGACTTGTCCAGGCCCATTTGATGGAATGGAGAGAATGGAAGAAAGGGAAGGGAAGGGAGGGAGGGAAAAAAGAAAAGGAAGGGAGGAACGGGTAAGGAAGCGAGGAAGGGAAAAAGAAAGAAAAAAGGGAGGGAGGGAAGAAGGGAGAGGAAGGAAGGAAAAATAAAGGAGGGAGAGAGGAAGGGAGGGAGGGAAGAAGGAAGGAAAAAGAAGTGAGGGAGAGAGAGGAAGGGAGGGAGGGAAGAAGGAAGAAAGGGAGAGGGAGGAGGAAGGAAGGAAGGAAGGAAGGAAGGAAAAAGAAAGGAGGGAGAGAGAAAGGGAGGAAGAAAAAAGGAAGGGAGGGAGAGGGAGGGAGGGAGGGAAGAAGGAATTAAGAAAGAAAGGAGGGAGGGAGAGAGGAAGGAAGGAAAAAGAAAGAAGGGAGGGAGAGAGAGAGGAAGGGAGGGAAGAAGGAAGGAAGAAAGAAAAGGAGAGAGGAAGGGAGAGAGGAAGAGAGGAAGGAAGGAAAAAGAGAAGCGAGGGAGGGAGAGAGGGAAGGAGGGATGGAAGAAGGAAGAAAAAGAAGGGAGGGAGAGAGGGGAAGGGAGGAAGGAAGGAAAAATGGAGGGAGAGATAGAGGAAGGGAGGAAGAAAAGAGGGAGGGAGGGAGGGACAGAGGGAGGAAAGGAAGAAAGAAAAAGAAAGAAGGGAGGGAGAGAGAGAGAGAGAGGAGGAAAGAAGGAAGGAAGGGAAAAGAAAGGAAAGGAGGGAGGGATCAGCATCCCCCAAATGGACAGAGCCCCCTTCAGCAGCCATTCTGCATCCCCAGCTGGATTCCTGACCCATCAGCCAATCTGGGGATGGGTGTGTGTGTGTGGGGGGGTCCGCCCTCTTCTCAGAGGCCTCTGAGTCATGGCCGCCCCCCCTGCCCCCCATTCTTAAAAAGATGCCCTTCTGGCTTCCTGTTTTTGGAGAGATCCAATCGCTTCCTCTTTCCAAGGGAGGGGTTGTGGCTGTGCGTTGCA